TCTTGGTATATGTCTGTATGTATCATCTACAAGTGCAACTCCTGCATCTAGTCCAAGTCAAGGTGGCAGTGCTGCTACTGGTGGCAGTGGTTCAGGTTCAGGTGGTGCTGGTGGCAGTGGTTCAGGTGGTGCTGGCCTAGAAGGTGCTGGTGGCAGTGGTGCTGCCATTGCAAGTGACATATGTGCTGCTGGTGCGAGTGATCTAGGTGCTGCTGTTACAAGTGACATAGGTGCTACTAGTGCAAGTGATAGAGGTTTTGTTGCTGCTGGAACAAGTACTGCAAGTGCAATCAGATTTGACGGCGATGAGCCTATGCAAGAGGGAGATGTACCTTATGGAAAGAGGCACAAGAGGTGCACATCCAATGTATGGCAGTACTTTACCAAGAAGAGAGTGGTCGTTGAGGATAATGGCAATACATATGTTCAAATGTGGGCTTATTGCGATTGGCCCAAATGCAATCACAAGGGCAGATGTGAGAGCAACTACGGAACAACTGGATTTTGGACCCATCTGAGGGTGGCACATAGTATAGTGAAGGGCCAGCAGTAGCTCAAAGTGGAAAAAGATGGGGGGAAAGACATGACTGTTGTGGTACCATACAGGTATGATGAAGAGGCTAGCTTGAGAAAGTTTTACTTGGCAATAGTCATGCATGAGTACCCATTTAATATATCTGAGCATGAGTATTTTGTTGATTTCATCAAATCCCTACGTCCTACCTTTCCAATCAGATCTCGTGTTACCATTAGGAAAGAAATTATGAACATGTTCTTAGCTGAAAAGGAGAGGTTGTATAGCATGTTCAAATCTGTCTCTTGTCGGTTTAGTGCCACCATGGACATGTGGACTTCAAATCAGAACAAGTCATACATGTGTGTATCTGTACATTGGATAGATGACAATTGGTATATCCAGAAAAGGATTGTGAACTTTGTGCATGTATAGGGCCGTCATACTAGTACAAAGCTCTTTGAGACATTTACTGAACTTATGGTTAAGTGGTATATTGACAAGAGAATGTTTGCTCTGACCTTGGACAATGCATCAGCAAATGAAGTAGCAGTCAAAGACATCATCTCTGATCTAAGGGCCAATGCTAGTTCAACGGCTTTGATATGTGATGGACTATTCTTCCATGTGAGGTGTGCTTGTCACATACTGAACCTTGTTGCTAGGGATGGTTTGAGTGTAATCACACCCACAATTGAGAATATTAGACAACTAGTTCTTGCTGTCAAGGGATCCCCATTGCAATGGGAGGAGCTCATAAAGCGTGCAACTGAGTGTGGCTGGATACAAACAAGGGTCTTTCACTTGATGTGTCAACCAGATGGAATTCCACGTATTTGATGCTTCGAGATGCTTTGTACTACAAGAATACATTCATGAGGCTTAAATCATCATATCGCCGTAGGTATGAAAAAATCACTCCTCCTAGTGAATGGGCCATGGCATTTAAATTGTTCCAATGCTTGAAGAAATTCTTTGATCTCACTGAACTGTTGTCTGGTACTTTATATTCAACTACAAATCTATTCTATAGAGGGTTTTGTGAGATAAAGATTTTACTAGATGAATGATCTGTTTGTCAAGATATCACTATTAGTGCAATGGCTACTTCTATGAGTAGGAAGTTTGAAAAATATTGGAAGAAATCATCCACTACACTTGCTGTTGCCTGCTTTCTAGATCCTAGATATAAGAAAAGGCTTATCGAGTTCTACATGAGAAAATTCCATAGCATCTCATCTCAAGTTCATGTTGATGAACTTGATGTCATGAAGAAATTGTACCAGTTCTATGCTGTTGCTGCTCCTTCATCTTCAAGGCCTAAAAGTGGATCAAATGATGCTAAGGATACAGATGACATGTTAGTGGACAGTGGAGATGATGAACTAGAGAACTTCTTGTATGAGTCTAGTGGGCATGGTGCTGATGATATGAATGAGCTGGACAAGTACATGGCAGATCCGCCTCTGAGGCTCAGTGGTCAGTTTGATATCTTGGCATGGTGGAAGAACCAAGCAGATGAGTATCCTATTCTTTCAAAAATAGCTCGTGATTTGCTAGTTGTACAAGTCTCAACTGTGGCTTCTGAGTCTGCTTTTAGCGCTGGTGGACGTGTTGTTGATCCTTTCCGTAGCCGCCTTGACCCTGAAATGGTTGAAGCTTTGATATTCATGAAAGATTGGATTGCTGCAGAAAGAAGAGGTTAGAAAAGAATCTTAGTTTTAGTTGTACAATATTTTATCATAATCATGTTTGCTGATATATGAGTCTTGGCTTACTTTGAATTTCAGATAAGAAGATTGGTTCTATTGTTGGTGATCTTGAAGTTATTGAGGCCCTTGTTTCAAAGCTGAACATTGAGGTATTGTCAATTGAGTTATCTAGTCATTTTGCTACACTGTTTGTTATATATATGTTGCAGTTGTACGTGGTTGTGGCTGTGTAGTGTACTAGACTACTAGTGTTTACTCTAGAGTTCTAATCTAGGGAAAAGGATAATAATTCTAGTATTTATACATCACTTGATAGACTATTAGCAACTGAACCGAAGGTTAGCTTCAAGCAACTGTGAGTTGGTAACTGAGCAGAAAAGTTCAAAGTAAGAAACAAACTGTTAGGAGTTTTTGGGAAATCTAAATAAGCACAACTTAGAAATCAAGTAAGTATGAAAACAAAAAAAAACATACCTAGAAGTGAATTAACACCCTTAAAATTAAAGCAACTTAAAAATAAAGATTCTATTAAACTTAAGAACTTTTTTGTGTCATGCATGTGCTACATATGCTTCCTACATATATCTTGATTCAGAATAACAGAGGGACAGAGCTTCACCCTTGTCTATGATTTTGCATATTAGTTGTAATTAGTTATAGGCAAATCGAATGTGCACCTCATTTCCAGTTAACCTCATGCTAACATGATAAAAGTTTGACAATTGTCGTATCTTGTAGTGTACTATCTTGTAGTATCTTGTAGTGTACTAGACTACTAGTGTTTACTCTAGAGTTCTTATCAGAAAAATTTCAAGGTCACCATGGTGTTTCTTTTTCTGGTATTAGTATCTTGTAGTAAGCAGTTTTACTGGGTTGTGGCTGGATCAGTTCTTTCCAACACTGATGCCTCCTTTTTTTAGGACGACGATGTCGCGGACAGCAATGACGAAGGAGATGGACCACATGGAGATGATATGGGCTTCTTTGACATGTAGTGTTGTCTGCTTATGATATGTTCATCTATTGTGTGTTTGGCTGTTGGCACTTGGCAGTTGGGCATGTTTTATTTTTAATTTGGACTTGTACTTGTGAGTTGAGTGTTGGACATGTAGGTTGTCTCATTGTCTCTTGTCTGTGAGTGAGTTGAGTGTTGGACCATTGCCTGTGTGTGGTTGCCTTGCCTCATTGCCTGTGAACTGTGATGTACTGTTGTGACTTGTGTGCTATGTGACTGTTGCCTCATTGCCTGTGAACTGTGATGTACTGTGCGTGGTTGCTTCATTTTGTGTTGCTTTCATCCATATATGCATCAATGCATGGTTGCAATTATTGCGTCGAGCTAACTGTTTTAAGTGGTTACATGTATATCGATGTTCCCGTTTTTGTGTTACTGATTCCTGATCGTAATCGACACGTTCCCGATCGAAGTATTCCATTCCCGATATCCCATAATATTGAATTCGTTTTCCCGTCCGGCTTTCCCGTTCCCGCCACCGTTCCCGGTCATATAATGCAGGAGCGGGAATGGTTACGGTGTTTTCCCGACCGTTTTCAACCCTACGGCTACTGGGGTGGGTTTGGCTGGAGATAGCGTTTTGGTTGATACACTGACTGGTGGGCCGCTCTAATTTCAGTGCGCACAAGTGGGCTGGGCTGGGCGCGCTAAAATGAAAATGGGCTATAGCGACCAATCGTTTGACTTTATGATGTGTTTTTAGCGACCAATCGTTTGAGGCACACGGCTAAATATATGTAGCGACTGATGTACCGTCGCTACGAGTAAAAATAGCGACCGATGATCTATTACAGGTTTATACCGACCGATTGTTGCACGTTAATATTACGTTTTAGCGACCGTTGTCTGACGCTAATTGTTGGTTGTGGTATAGTGAGCGTATGATACTGGCAATAACTGTGACTTAATATATCTATTATGATGTTATCTTACCTATTTCTATCACACCAACCAAACAATATAGAATCGCTTCATCTCTTCAACAAAACACATGGAACCATCCCATCCTAAAAATAGAGATGGATTGATCTTATCCTACCTAGCTCACCAACCAAACAAACTTTGAGAATGTGATTGGTTGTTGGCTAGACTCAGGCTTAGCTAAGCTCCCGAGCTAGGCTGGTGGGAGCCAGCCTTGCACATGCAGTGGCCTATTCGGCCGGTATTAAAGCTGGTTGATAAACCGGCTGAAGCTATTTTGTTGTGAGAGAAAAATATTGTAGATTATAGCTGATAAGCCGGCTGATAAGTTCAAGCGAACAGGCCTGTATGTTGTACTGCATGGTTGGATTGAGCTAGGTTGAGCTGAGTTGTATCATGTTTGGTTAGCTGGGCAAGGTGCAAGTGGTGGCCATGGATTGCTCCAACATACTGTTGCTTACACCCAAACACTTGCATGTCTTTCACCTGGCTCCAGTGAAATTAAACTCTATTTTTTATTTCCTAAGAGCCAAGTTTGGTCAATCTTTTTTACTCTATCGGATAGACTCAGCACATCCATGTAACCAATCAGTCGATAACTACATCTTACACATTAGGTTGTATGAACGAGTTTAGATTAAAAACCGCCTATTATCGTCTAGCCAGACAAACAATTCCCGGTCATCCAAAAGTTAGACGCTTCACGCTTGGGAGCTAACCTATGCAAGTTTTTTCTTAAAAAAAAAATTCATTCGAAAAAAGTTTCTTTGAAAAAAAAAACATGCACATCAATAGTTGGCCGGTAGGTCACACCTTGTCAGGCTGTCCGCATCGGTCGATGACAAGCCGGTTCCACAGCCAAATCCCACTGGGGTCCCACGTGCCACCTGGCACCAACACAGCCGTTCCAACTTCCTTCCAAATTCCAACTGAGTTCTTCAGCCCAGTCCACCAACGGGCAACGGCCAACACTGAGGACAAAGCGAGGAAAATAAGAGGAAAAGGGACTGGAGAGCAAAACCCTAGCACAGCCGCATCCATGGCGATGTCCATCTCCGGCGGCTGCGTCGGCGGCGACTGCACGGTCCTGGCGCCGTCCGCGTCCTCGCTCCGCCCGCCGCTCCGTCGTGCCGCTGGCCCCAAGGTCTGGACTCCTGCTCCCCGTCCCCTAAACCCTAGCATTTATTTAGTTTAATCCTGCCTGTTAGAGGTGGAATTAGCACGAGTGTGTGTGCGGCTTTCGATTGGCTGGGGAGGCCAAAATCTCTGCCGGGAGATGCTCCGGTAGGCTGCTGGGAGTCCGCGTTGCGGTTGTTACTCTTCGGGGTTTGTGCGTGCCTCCGATGATTGGGTGACAGGGTGAGGCTGCCTTGGGTCAGTCTGAATGTGCGAAGTGCATTTTTGTGTTGATTGGAAGGCTAAATGTGCAAGTGCCTGTTAGTAACCGGGAATGGAGGAATTAGTTTGGTAAATCACGTGGATTGAGTCGGGGAGCATATGTATTCTGCAGTGCAGCTGAGTAGTGTGCAGTGCAGACGAACTAGAGATTCAGTACCTGCTGGTGTGACCATGCGAGGTAGGCCCACTGGAACAACTGCATTTCTGGACAACGTTAAGACCTTCTTTGGGCCTACCAAATGCTAGCAGAGGGGGAAGCTCTTTTTTGTACTATAATAATGGTGAAGCCACCTAAATGTGGATTCTCCAGCTTCTCTGTCTTAGACTCTTAGGTCAAGTCATTTGCAAAGAAACCCTACCAAACAGGGCATAAGGATTAACTGTACTTTGAGATCTGCATTTTTCCTAGATTTGGCATTTTATTATTTTGCTTGCTCCAACATTCTTGGGACAAAATGGTTTGCTGCTTTTGTATCACTTTGTTGTTTCCGCTTGTATTCTAGCTTGTAGGGATGTACATTCTTGGATTCTAAATATTTGGGTTCATAATGTAAGCATTAGGATATAGAAAACAGATGTCATGTACCCATTTGTTGATAACTTGGGATTACCTCAAATTTACTCTTCTCGAGTTACTGATTGTTTCTTTGTGCATATTGTCCTACCATGAATAAGTGCCCTGTATTTGGTTTTCTGGTGAAAGGATTTTCTCATCAAGTTTTTATGTGTTGGCTTATATGTACAGCTTTTGTATCCCATTTGATGGCTCTGCTCGAAATCAAAGTCAACCACTTTGTCTCCTTTCTTATTGGTCTTTTCCATTGCAATCAGTATATTTGCTGTGTAGGCTAATTGCTAATGTATTGGAAAATTAGAGTTTATTCCAACAAAGTACCTATAATTTACCTGTAATTTTAAATTGGCAGTGGTTTGATTCCTCTATTTCACATGGGTTGCCTAAGCTTGTGAAGTCGGTGTGTTTGTTAGTAGCGCTAGCAGTATCAGCCTTGCTTAACAATGCCAGACTATCTGATTTCCATGTCTAGGTTTGCTTGGTATCTGGCATTTTTCTGGGCTGTTCTTTTTTTTTCCTTAGCTTTTTACCATCTCCATCTCCTACAGTATGGTGTTTTCTTTTCATGCTTTGCAAATATCAGTATTACTGACAGTCACTACCCAAACTGTCTGATTCGTTCTTTTCTTTCATTGACGTGTTTCATTTTACAGTAGTTAATAGTGTATTTGTAGGTAGTTAGAATTCCAACTGAGTCCAGTCCAGTATTACTGACACTACCCAAACCGTCTGATTCCTTCTTTTCTTTTATTGACATGTTTTTCATTGTACTGGTAGTAGATCTAGGGAGTATGAGTTTGATTGGAGAGGTAGTTAGAATGATGGATAAGTCTCTGTGGTTTTTTTTGTGGGGATGGGGCCTGCAGTTGTGCTCCTTGTGGTTGCATGGTGAAGGACAGCATCCTTGACTAGTCGTTGTGGTCTTGCTGCCCAAGGACAGCACAGCACCCTTGACTTGCATCTTAGCATCTAGGACTAGCATCTAGGACAGCATCTTAGACTAGCATTTTGGCATATGCTTGGCTGGCTAGCAGCCTATAAATCTGTATCACCAACCCCTTAGGTTGGCATGGCATTTGTGTGAGTTTGTGTGAGAAATAAACCAGAAAATTGCCCCAACTCCTAGTGTCATCCTCTCTCGATGAGAGTAAGAATTCTGCTACTACCGAGGGTGAGAGTTCAACAACTAACAACTGGCATCAGAGCCGTACTATCTTGTAGCTGAGCATCTCCTGCTCATCTCCTCCCACCCCTTCCCCACAACAGCCTTCTTGGCGGCTGGCGCTCCTCCTCGGCCGCCCTCACTCCTCTCTCCTCCCTCTGCAGCACTGTCTGGCAGCCCTCTCCCCAGCAAGCAGCCCCCGTGGCGTGTCATGTCCGCAGGTAGTCTCGGCCTTCGCCGCGCCTCGAGCCTGGCGCGTCAGTAGGAGGCCGAACTTGCAGCCAGCAGAGGAACGCGAGCGAAGCGGCGGCGGGCGCCGAGGTCGGCAATGGGCGTGAGCAAAGCAGCAGGCGAGTGAGGCGGCGGCGGCGGGCGGCGAATGCGAAGCGCGCGGCTGGCAGCAGAGAGGTCGAGGCTCACAGCAGCAGAAGATCGGCAGCTCCATTTCACGACGACACCGCCGACGCGACCTCGAGCCGCTAGAGAGGGGAGGCGCGGCGAGCGCTGGAGAAGCGCGATGCGCGCGCGCACGCCCACGCCACGAGCGTGGCGGCAGCCTGCAGACAGCGGACGCTACTGGCGGCGCTCTGGAGGAGCGCGACATGGCGGTCGCGCTCTGGGGCAGGCACAGACGCCACGCGCCAGCGCGGCAAAAATTTCGCATATAGAACGGCAGACGCAGCGGTGGCGGCGGGTCGATCGATGGAGAGCGCGCGCCTTCACAGCAGCGTGGTTTTCCTCCGGATCGGTACCGACGGGTCGATGGAGAGCACGGCCTTCACAGCAGCGTGCGGGCTTCTCCCCGGACGGTCTGCGTGGTTACCACGGGCTCCAGGCTGTTCTCAGGGACGTCGGTCCCGGCGGTGGGTGGCCTACCCTCACCAAGACCAACTACGTCGAGTGGGCTGCGGTGATGAGGGTAAAGCTCCAGGTGCGGCACATGTGGGAGGCAGTCCGTGTCAGGAACTGGAACGCGCCGGACTCCCACTGAACTCCGGCGACGTGCACTGGCGAACTGGAAGACAGGGGAGAGAAACAGAGGAACGCAACGCGAACACGAAGAACTCGATGAACACACTGAACACAGGATTTGTGCCGCCCAAAATCAGCAGCGTTTTCTGATGATTGTATTGCTATTTATTGAAGTACAAAGCAGTTGAGATACAAGCCACGGCGCACACGATTGCGTGGAGTGCGCACGTCCATCCCCATGCGCCGCAACAGCCGGCCATGGCTTGCATGCTCGAGTTCATGGGAGCTAATCTCGGCCACGACTCCTGTGCACACGGTAACCACAAGTCGGTCCTCGTGTGCGTGCAGATGCTAAAAAATAGACATGCTAAACTGAACTGAACAATATCTGATAACTGAATAAAACATGCCATGCAGAAAGGAATACTAGGATTACTAACAAATTCTCCTCCTAATCCTAGTGTATATGCTGTACATCAACTACACCGATCCTGGAGCGCATCTCACAGAAGAGTTCACGCCCCAGAGCTTTAGTGAGTATGTCCGCCAGCTGCTCCGTTGTCGCGATAGACTGGAGCTTCACCCTGTCTTCTTCAACACATTCACGAATGAAATGATAGCGGATATCGATATGCTTACTGCGATCATGGAAGACAGGGTTTTTGCTGAGTGCAATGGCAGACTGGTTGTCAATCTTCAGAGTGACGGCGCTGTCCTCCTCGCCCTTGAGCTCAGCGAGCAGCCGCGCCAGCCATATGCCCTGGCATGCTCCTGTCGTCGCTGCAATGTACTCAGCTTCGCACGAAGACAGGGCCACGATCTTCTGTTTTTGTGACTGCCAGGTGATGGTGTTGTCGCCGAGGAAGAAGAGGATGCCTGAGGTGCTCTTGCGCGTGTCAATGTCCCCAGCCAGGTCGCTGTCCGTGTAGCCGACAAGTTGGGGATCCTTCTTCCTCTTATAGTGGCAGCCAAAGTGCAGGGTGCCAGCAACATAGCGCAGCACACGCTTCATGGCCGCCAGGTGCTCAGTGGTTGGGTTCTCCATGAACCGACTGATGAAGCCCACTGAGTATGACAGGTCGGGTCTTGTGTTCACCAGGTACCGTAGGGAGCCGACCACACTACGATACATGGTAGCATCAATGGATGGAGCTGAGCTCACCTTGCTGAGTTTCAGGCGGGGCTCCATTGGTGTTGTGCTGGAGTTGCAGCCTGTCAGCCCTGCCGTTTCCAGGATCTTGGCTGCATAGGAGCTTTGACAAATGGTGATGCCAGCCTCGGTCTGGGACACCTCCAAGCCGAGGTAGTAGTGAAGCAGCCCCAGGTCGCTCATCTTGAAGGTGGCCTTCATCTGGTCCTTGAAGGTGTCGATGTCAGCTTGGTTGCCGCCGGCGATGATCAGGTCGTCGACGTAGACCCCAACCACCAGCCGGCGAGCTCCTGTCCCACGCAGGTAGACAGCATGTTCCGAGGCACTCCTCCGAAACCCGAGCCCAAGAAGAGACTCGTCGAGTTTGGCGTACCACGCCCGTGGAGCTTGACGGAGTCCATAGAGCGCCTTGACGAGGTGCAGTACCTTGTTCTCTTGGCCACGGAGGACGAACCCAGGAGGTTGCTCGACGTACACCTCCTCCTGGAGCACACCGTTCAGGAACGCGGACTTCACGTCCATATGATGCACGGCCCATCCTTGAGTGGCGGCGTGGGCGAGCAGGAGCCGAACAGATTCTAGGCGAGCGACGGGGGCGAAGACCTCGTCGAAGTCCACACCCTGCCGCTGTACGTAGCCCTTCGCGACGAGACGGGCCTTGTACTTGTTGATGATGCCGGCGGCGTCCTTCTTCGCCTTGTACACCCATTTGAGGCCGATTGGCCTGACGTGTGCCGGGCGTTCCACCAGCCTCCATGTACCGCTGGCCTCGATGGAGGTCATCTCGTCGAGCATGGCGTGACGCCAGCACTCATGGCGCGCTGCCTCGTCGAAGGTGGTCGGCTCAGCGTCGCTCGCCAGCAGCAGGCGCTCCTCCAGCTCGCGGTG